ATATATATATATATATATATATATATATATATATATATATATATTCTTGTATTACATTAAGCTGGAAATGAAACAAGACCCACAGATTGGTTCTGTGTGTGCCTGTGGTAACTATCAAGTCAAGTACCATCTAATAGCAATCACTTGAACTGACACAATCTTTTATGAATCCTGTCATCATCCTTCCGTCTGGTTTTGCCACTGCCACTCACAATGGTGAGTCTAGTTTGATTAATTCCTTTAGTGGGTATTTCAAATTTGATGATATCACTAGAAGGTAATTTTAGATAAAACGTTAGAACTTCAGAAGTGGGACTAAGAGTGGCTAGGTTTCCACACATAATTTTTTTTTTTAAAAAAGTGGCCCTATTGCTTAAAAGCCACTCTTTACAGAGAAATTGTAGGATACTTTCATTTGGTGCAAATAATTTCCCACAGCTAATAATTGGAAAGCAGGGTAACCTCTATCACAGGGAAAACAAAGTTGCCCCAGCCAATAGGTTGAGGGAGACAATTACAGAAATTACAAATGCAGTTTTTTAAGTTATAGGGAGAGAAGAGGCATTGGACTTTTTTTTATTTCCCAGTATCATGAAATTGCTTTGCAACAAGCTGGGCGGCAAACAAATTTCATAACAAACCTCAATGCATAGATAAAGCTATGCAGCAATGTAGAAAGAAACATATCCCGTCTGGACTGGATTAAACAATTGCAAATGAATAACAGGCCATTTAATAACAGGCCTTTGCACAGAGCAATTTAAAAAAGGGATGCTATAATGCACCAGTCTTTGAAGAAAGCAGGGGTGATCTCTAATAATCTAGGAACCTGGCATGGAAACAAGACATCTGTCCAGATGGGGTTTTCTTTTTTTTTTTCTACAAAAGGGACTGGATGAAAGCTCTGTAGTTTAAAATAACACTTCCCTTTTGGTCTTACTGGGAGAAAGCCATTGTTGTTCAGCAGGGCAGACCCAAGGCTACAGTTTTCCTTTTGTTGCACTTCATCCTGGCTGCCCAAATGCTGAGCTCATAAAAACGTTCTTTTAAATGTCACCCTGGGAAGTATTTTATTTCATTCTGAGCCAAAAAAAGAAAAAAAACAGCCTCCCAAGTAAATAATCTCGTGGGGTATATGTGAAGATGTAAATTGGAGTTTGTTGATTTTAGGATTATCCGAATTACCTCATGGTAATGCCAGGATTTCTGGCAAATTTATGTAAAGGTCGTGTAGCATCAGAAGAGTCTAGAGCAGTGTTTCTCAACCTTGGCAACTTGAAGATGTCCGGACTTCAACTCCCAGAATTCCCCAGCCAGGGGAAGTTGAAGTCCGGACATCTTCAAGTTGCCAAGGTTGAGAAACATTGGTCTAGAGATTCTACATCTAAGGCAGGGATCGGCAAAACCTTAAACACTCAAAGAGCTGCAAAGGTCCTAACCAGAAGCCTCCCCCTCCCCCGTTCAATTCTGGAGCTGACTGGAAGTCTTTTTCCTCT